GAAAGATCATGGGCAGTTTATTTTCCAGCTACATAGAGCTAGCACAAATGAAGCAGACCAGCTCCAACTCTTGCAAGGGGAAGGCACAGAGAATCCACATATAGGTTAGAGAATTAAAAAGATAAATACTTCACTCTAAATAAAAGAAGCAGGCAACACAAAATTAACAGCAACTTCAACAGTCTGGCAGTTGCTTTAAAAAAGACTGACTAGGCGGACTGCTGTTAAATGAAAATGCACAGGCCAGTATAAGGTCCTGCAAATTTTATGTGTCCTCATATCAGACCATTGCCTGATCCAAAAACAGAAAGAGTAACAGCCAGCTTGACAACTAATATGAACCTTTAAAAGCTTGCTTTCTGTTTTCGGTCCCCATTAAGTGGTGTATGGACAGTGTTCCAGTCGTGTACTGCCTGTTGCAGTTCCAGTTCAGTAATATTTTGATTTATTGTCATTTACCATGAAGTCAGATGCTGACCTCTGTGGAAGATAGTGGCAGTGATGACAGGAGGCCTATGCACACTGCAAGGCCACAACAGTTTGAATTACATGCCTTTATTTGTCCAAGCTTTTGTGTTTCTCTCACCCTCCTCAATTCACCTATCAACTCTGAATGAAAAATGCCTAGGAAAGCCATGAGTGGGGAATACAGACTATTAGAAGGAGAAGCAGAAATAAGGAGAAAGGTGAACTTATGGCTTCACAGTGCAGAGAAGAGTCTAAAGTAGGCATATGAAATAGAATAAATTACATTCATTAAGGCAGTGAAGATAAAGGGGTTTGTTCTGCTGGATAGGAAAAAGAAAAAAAGCAGTGCAATAAAGCTTGTGGGAAGTGTCATTAGTTTCTCAGCAATTGGAAAAAGAAGGTAGAAGTTAGGAAAGAGGGCGATTTAACCCAAACTAAAGAAAAAGGTTTATGCCACCAGAAAGAAATAAACATGGTTAATATATTGATCATATTGTTCCAACAATTTTTCAGTTTCTCTTCGACCTGTGCAAAAATTTTATATAAAAATAGTATGCATCATCCACTTAAACATGGAAATATGCTTTCATTTTTAACAAAAGCAAATAATCCACCTATCATCAGAAGAAGGAAAAAAACCAAAACAAAACCAAAAAACCTCACATTATGTAATGGTGAGGTGGCTACACTGTGGCAAGGTTGGTCAGCATGAGCTTATTTGGTCTTTGTCAAAGCAAGTATCAAAACCACATTTTTGTTTAAAATCTGACTTGTGACACCTGCTTACCTATTTATAGCTGATTTAAGTTCTCACAGAAAGCCACAGTCAGTGCTGTCTTTATCTTTCAGCAGGCAAAGTGCTGTTTACCTTGCATGGGCTCAGCATTCCTTGTTGTTTCCACAGGCAGTTTAATTAGGACACACATTCACCTAACAGAAGCAATGAGTGGAGTGGTAAATAATAGTTGGTAGAGCAGTCTGAAGCATTTCATTATCAGTGACTTATTATAATCATTGTAATTAAAAAAGATAAAAGGTCAAACAGGACAGTAACGTACAACAGGGGTTTGCTGCTTACCAGATAATTTGCTTCGAGATTTATGTTGCCACACTATTCACAGTAGTATCAATTCAATCCTCACAGAAAAAGCTCCTTGTATACCAGCCTTAAAATAATCCAGTTATTATGTTAATCCAGGTCATTTGAGATGGAATTATAAATGTGCACAATTTCAATACTCGCATTTAACTGGACAGTGGTTTAACCTACTCTGGTGAGTTCCAGCAGTATAATGGCTGTACCAGCCATCTGTTTCTGCAACATTTTTAAACAATCTCCAGTACTTCCCATGTAGAAGTACCTACTTTGCATAGAACATATACAACTGCAGCCTTGGAACAAATGGATGAACTGTGGCAAGTGAGAATGACAGCAGAAATGACAGTGGTCCAGAAGAGAAATCACTGCCTGTAAGGAGTTCGCATCGCCACAGCTGCCCTGGCTCACCACTCCACCTTCCAAAACAAATGACTTCCTTCTCCTGTGTTGAAGCTTTTTCTATTGCTCTAAAGTTACTGATTTCCTCAAGGCAGCAGATCTACCTGAGGCTAGCTCTGAAACTTTAAAATTTCCAGGAAATTTAAAAATTCAGTTTGGGCTTAGCCATACCTTCCTTACTGTGCTTCAGATGTAAGGCTCTTACAAGGTTCATTCTCACAGCAGTACTAAAACTGTCTTCAGATATACAAATGGCAATCCATATCCATTTACCCAAAAGCAACTGCATAATGTATTTCTGCTTTCTTTACTGAAAATAGTGATGGCTTTATTTATTCAATATAATGGCTTAGTATAATTTACAATGTAGGTAGAAAAGGGAAATTGTAAGTTAAACAAAACACACTACACCGAAGAGGTGGATGAAGTGACCATGAGAAAGGTGCTTTGACATCTACTGCTGTACAGAAACAATCCCATCAAAGGGGGAATATTCACCATCAGCTACATTTCTCTTAGCCACTGACTCTGCTAGTTAGTACACATAGAGCAGGATGCACTTGCCAAATTATACCACCAGTTGGTTAATTTAATCACAGAGAAAAGTCTTGCTCAGCCTTAACTGGGCCCTGATGCACTTTACTGCAAGTCTGATTTGCAGTGGTGATTTTCTTAGTGGAAACTTCACTACAGTTTCTTATTGCTAAGTTTGGGGCTGTAATCTTGACGAGTATATGAGTGGGCAGCAGCTGTGATAATGAATAGACCATGCAGCACCAGCATGTAGCTGGGACAAGGCAAATATTACCAGACCTTGATGATGTAGAATCTATCAGTTATTGTCAAGTCTCCTTGGGCACTTTCACAACCAAGGGATGAGATAAGAGGATTTCTTTATCTTGAAATCTTTTTATTATGGTTCTCCCTGTCCTATGGGTAGCATGACCTTCCACAGAGCCAAACACCATGTATTCTAGATTTGGCACAATTTGAAAGCTAGGAAGTTGAGCTCAGGATGTATTACAGTGCTACATGTGATCAGAATTGGGGACATTTCTTCTTGTCAGCTGTATTTGCTTCACTTAACTTCTTAAACCTGGGAAAAATAGCTGATGTCATTTTGAGACATCTGTACCAACTGAGGCAAGAAGACTAATTCACAGAATGAATTGGAGAGACAGGGAGGTAACACATCGCACATCTTGACAGAGGATTTATTAGTTATATTTAACTAGATATTCCAAACTTGCTAGAATTATCAAGAACCTAAATTTTGAAAATGCCCTGCTGGCTTTATGGAAATGAATCAGCTTATTAATGCAAATGTACTGTAGAACATTTAAGACAGAAAAATACTGAGTCTTTTGAAAGGTAATAAATTGAGAGCCAAAGGTTGACCTTACTCTCAAGATGCTGACTGCAACTCATATTCTGCATTCAGTTCCTGGCTTCACTTCAGACTTCCTGTGTGGGTTTTCAGTAGACACATCTGTGCCTCACTTCCCCATTAAAAAGAAAGACTAAAAGTACAGTCCATTTGGAATAAGGTTTGTCGCCCAACAAGAGCATGTCAAACACTTAACAGAGCAGCATTCTGTCCTTAACAGGAAGATCAGTGCTGAACAACGCAAATAGTGAACAGCCACCTCCGTAACAACGCAGCCCATATTTCTATAATGACAGGTATCTTTTCTTTCTGAATGCATCTGTACTGCCCAGGGTCTTAGGATGTGTATATTTATCTATATAAAAGTGACTTACGTATATAAGGGGTTTATTTTATTTTTAAAGCAAATATATTTCACTTCATCTGTTTTCCAAGTTGGGTTTGGCTGACAGCTGTCAGGATCCTGCAGACAATAATAAACACTACTCTGCAATAATAACCATCTTTTTTGTGGGTCTGGTGTTTTGGTTTTTGTTTTTTAATTTTAATCTCCACTAGTTTTGGTAGACTGTCTATTTGTAGACTCTGGAAATGATTTAGGATCAGAGTCACTTACAGTGTCCTACCTGCTTCCTAAAGTCATAAATCATTAATAAGGAAATAATTCTTGCAGAACACACAAGCCCTGACAAACCAAACAGGTGCTCTGTAAAGGAGATTGATACCCTTTCCATACACTTAATGCTGTCCAGAAATATTATTCATACACTAAGACTACAACTTCAGCTCTTGGATACATAAATTCTGTCATTAGCTGAAAAGGTAACGTGAATTGTGGTTCCCCCTTTCACCTGTCTTAAACTCTTTCTACAGTTACTAATGTGCAACAAATCGGCGTATGTCCAGATTTTCAGATTTTTTTTTTCCTCATTAGTATTTAAATACCATAGTTCCAAGCCAGATGGGGAGCTAGGCAACTTCTGATTATATAAGGTATTTATGGTACAACAGAACACTGGACTGTGTGAGTGTCTTCATCTTTCTCTATGATGTAAAAATTGCCTCAAAGAGTAAAGTTTAATGTATAGAAAAAAATTTCTAGTAATTCATATCAATATGAGTACCTAATCTGAATTCACTTATTTTCTTAATGCATTATACTCTATATTTACAGAATGAACTGGTATTCAAGAGTGCTAAAGTGCAGTTTCTGAGGTATCTGAGTAACTTTGCTCATTAGATATTTCACCTATTTATGGAAAAAATAACCTAAAGACTCTCCTGATTTTATAGTAATCTGCTAATTTGAGTCTCTGTTATTATTTTTGACATATGTTCACTAACCAGTCTTATTTTAAATTAGAACCTTGCTACCTGGAAGAAGTTTGTTAGAATTCAATTTATGTTAAAAAGAATCTAAGAATTTTCAGCCAGCTCGTAACATTCTTACCCCTGTTTTATTCTGCAAAGAAACTGTCTACTAAAATAGAAATCAGTTGAGAATGCAACTGAAGATGGCTTATTTTCAAATTCAAAGACACTGACACATTGTGTTAAACACAAAAACTTGACATTTAATTGAAACTCTTTAAAAATTAAATCCCTGTCATGAATACTATTTTCTTCCTCTGTTCCTCTCATAGGTGTGAACTTTTCTCCCTGAAGCTAGGTTGCAGCTGAAGAGATCAAGATGATTCCAAATTACTCTACTGAAGAAACCATTAAAAGAATCCATGTTGACTGTCCCGTTTCAGGAAGGCACAGTTACATCTACATTATGGTTCCAACCGTTTACAGCATCATCTTTATCATAGGCATATTTGGGAACAGCCTGGTTGTTATTGTCATTTACTGCTACATGAAATTAAAAACAGTAGCCAGCATCTTTCTTCTAAACCTGGCACTGGCTGACTTGTGTTTTTTAATAACTCTGCCACTCTGGGCAGCCTACACAGCCATGGAGTACCAGTGGCCTTTCGGCAACTGTTTATGTAAGTTGGCATCAGCGGGGATAAGTTTCAACCTGTACGCCAGCGTGTTCCTCCTCACATGCCTTAGTATTGACCGCTACCTGGCCATAGTACATCCAGTGAAGTCCCGAATTCGACGTACCATGTTTGTTGCCAGAATAACTTGCATTGCCATCTGGCTTCTCGCCGGTGTGGCCAGCTTACCTGTCATCATTCACCGTAATATATTCTTTGCTGAGAACTTGAACATGACAGTCTGTGGTTTTCGGTATGACAATAACAACACAACGCTCCGGGTTGGGTTAGGTTTATCAAAAAATTTGCTAGGCTTTTTAATTCCTTTTCTGATCATATTAACAAGCTACACCTTAATCTGGAAGACCCTAAAGAAGGCATATCAAATTCAAAAAAATAAGACCAGAAATGATGATATTTTTAAGATGATTGTGGCAATAGTATTTTTCTTCTTTTTTTCCTGGATTCCTCATCAAGTGTTCACTTTTCTGGATGTATTAATTCAATTACATATAATAACAGACTGCAAAATCACTGATATTGTGGATACGGCTATGCCCTTCACCATTTGCATCGCTTACTTTAACAACTGTTTGAATCCCTTTTTTTATGTTTTTTTTGGAAAAAACTTTAAAAAATACTTTCTTCAGCTAATAAAATACATTCCACCAAATGTCAGCACACATCCAAGCCTAACAACAAAAATGAGCGCCCTTTCATATCGGCCACCAGAAAATATACGCTTGCCCACTAAAAAGACTGCTGGGTCTTTTGATGCAGAGTGATGCGTTTCGCAATATACTTTTTTTTGAACAACCTTGTGAGCAAAGCAGCAAGAATGACAAAACTCATCTGCAGTCCTGAGCATCATAGCTTACTGCTCATGACAGAAACATTACTGTATACATCCACATACTGTAAAGATTTAGCAGTGGCCTTTTATTTTATGTTGTGAAGAGGACTGCTCGTTTTTAATTTTGTTTTTCTTTACTGAAAGCAACATAAATGATGAACAGGCACGTTAGAGTTTCTGTCAGCATCCTGCAGTTTACTCGGAACTCCAAAAACAAAGGATAGAGAAAACTCCTAACAAGTTCAGAGAACTTTTTCAAGGAAAACCTTGTATAAGTGACATGAACTAAGAAAGATCTGGTTTGCACATAACATGAGCTATTTCAAATTCTGTTCAACAAGTTGATGGAACTACACTGCTTGTTTTGTTGGGTTTTTTAAATGACATAAGTGTCATATCATATTTATAATATATTTTCAAATATATGCTATATAGAGAGGCCCAAAACTCTAATGGAAATTCAAGGTCCTTGAAATTGGTCTAATTCTGATTTATGCTACAATTTTTCATTTTTAAAATGGCAATTTTTTCATAATAATATATGCAATAAAATGCAGATTTATTTATTAAATATATAAGAAATATATTTTTAGATTTATATTCCTACTCAGATTTAAAACATTGCTTTGTAATTGTACATTTATATCCCAGTGGGTATTTTTACTTTAGTTTAAAAAAGAGTAAGTGTGTATATATACATATATATATACACATACACACAAAAAAAAAAAAGGGGGTTTACTCAACCTTTCCTCATGATATGCCACACTGATTTTGAAGAACATTACTTATGGAGTGGGTTGACTCCATACTCTATATGACTAAAAGTAAAATTCTGTATTTGTAAACATGAGTTTGGGGACAGAGGTGATCAGAAAACTTCAAACTATTTTTTGTATAATAAGTGCACTCAATGAGAGAAATTCCTAACTAATCAAATCCACTCAATTTTTCAAATTCTTGGACATTTAGTAAACTCACATTCTGATAAGCAAAAATGTGACAAAGCCTGTATTACAGTTTAACCAATAATGTTTTTAGTCACATCACAAAACACCCAAGACCAAACTTTATTCTTTGCTTTTATGGAATTCCTCTCCATTTATACAAACCTAATCCTAGAGTATTTGCTCCCTGTAGAACCTTTTTTAATGTGGATGGAACTAATTCAAATTTATACTAGCATAAATCAGAACAAAAGTCTGGCTCAAACTCCATACAAATGAGGGGGGAAAGGCAATAAGCTCTTGTAGGAAGTTTTAGCTAATGATATCCTCATATGTCCTTTTTACTTCAAATAATGGACTCCAGAAAATATTTCTCCTTGATTCACACTCACTTACTGTCTTCAAAGATAAATGAATTCATAAAAACTTTTTGACATAGCAAAACTTGAGAAAAATTTCACAACTTTACATATATCAGGTAGACAAATACATGACCCTTGAGAATTTCCAGTATTTCTGAGCTTCAGAATTACACATCTAATGTGGCTCTGTCTCAGGTAGCAAGTGGTTGAATTATCTATATTTTCTTACTATCAGTCTCTTGCTTATACACAAATAATATTTTAAGTTGTTTTCTACTTTAGGAAATTATTTTAAATCAAAACACAACTAAAGTTATTTCTGCAGTTTAGTACTTTTTAAAGAAAAAAATGGGACTACAACCATGTCTGGGAATCTTGTGCTTCTTCCTGCTCTTTCATTCACTTATTTTAAGGCAAGTTGCTTCAGTTTTGCCTTTGTTCTTCCAGCTGCAAAATGGGAACAATCTCTACTTACATATGTCACCAGGCACTGTGAGGATTCACGAAAACTTCTGAAGCCGTATGGTTAAAAAAAAAATCTTTCATTAAAGGTTTAAATTAATTTAATTCCAAAATGGTGTCTCAAAATTTGAAACCTGAATGTGTCATTTAAAGACACCACTAAATTATTCTTATTATATATAATGTTTTATATTTAGCTTATATCTAACCTTACATGTGAGACAGACATTCCTTAAAAGTGAATATGGCAATAGTCCCATGCATTATAAATAGCATCCAGAACAGCAGCACTGCCTTGGCACTCAGTAAGCTGACTGAGGACTGAGAGAGCTTGCTATTTATCCGTATGATATTTTCTTCATGTACACATGTGCCCACGCTGAGCAGTATCGGGAGCTTCCCCTGGCAGAAGCAGCTCTGTCTCAGACATAATTCAGTGTGCTGTGCTTGCCACCTGCTGGATGCAGCCACAAATCTGTTTTTCATCTCAAAAGCTGTTACAGGAGGAGACAGCAATATTTCCCTGCCTCCTGATGGATCTGGAGATACTTACTTGTGGCAAAACTCCTGTAGAAATGAAATACAAACTTGTTCATCTGTGAGGCAGTTAAATTCCTCAACAGGGGCTAAGCAAGCATTTCCTCATCACCTGCTGATGATCCCTTTGGTCACTGAAATCCAGCATCCCCCATGACCACAATAGGTACCACATTTGCAAAACATTGATTGCATTACTACAAGAGCCATTACAAAGAGAAGAAATAAATATATGTATAAAAATAAAAATCAAAGCATATTTGCGCACCTGACAACTTAATATTTGGCTGAAATGACTCATTTATCACTAAGAAGCAGAATCAGTAGTGACCACGAACAATAAAAATTACTATTACAACGAAAAACTGAAAAGAAGACATTGGTTAGTGATTTTGATCATTTCATGCCAGATCCTGTGTTCCTACAAGATGATGTATCCCAGGCTGCTGGTGCCACCTGTGCCTACCTGCGTCATGGGGGCAAAAGCACGAGCACGCACATTCGGCTGGATTGCTGCAGGAAAGGCAGGAAGGGGTTGCAGCTGGTGTGCTTTGAAGGCAAGACTGACCTTGAATTGATAGGCAAAGAAAGTGGAGGGCAAAGCTGCTGTTAAATAATGCTTGGAAATTTTTGTTCTCCCAAAGGGTGAGAAATGGTCATCAGCTGCCAAATCCAGAGGATCCTAGGCAAATCAATAGATTCTGGAAAGTATTCAGAAATACAACTCCAGCAACTCTAACAGGGCAGCAGCAGAGAACAAACTTGCAGAGCACAGAGGTTCTGTGTACAGCCACATCCTGCACGTTCAGGCTTCCCCACAAAGCCCCAAACTGACAGCTAACTGAAGAGTCCCCATTTTCCTCAGCACAATCAAGCCACTTCACCACACATACAGCTGCAACAAATGCAGGTGCTGAGAAACATGTTGTTGCTGAGCCTTACACTCATCTGCCCACCTACTTGCTGAAAATCCTGTGCTGGAGTCCGTGCACGGGGCCTGCAGAGCAGCAGTGTGACAGAGCGCAGGATCTGGCTGCTGGCGTGGACACTTGGCTGTAAGGTCCCTACTGAGGTACAGGTGGGATATGGCCAGAGTATCCTTTGGTGCAAGAACCTACTCCTTGCCAACAGAGGAGGAGGGAGTAAGATGTGACTCTGTCTTTGCGGAACTTTGGTTTGAGCCATCTTAATTTAATATCAAAATAAGAACTAGCTATAGATGTTTAGGAACAAACTCCCACTATCATAAAGAACATAGAGTTAATTAAGATGCAGTAGTATGCTCTTATTTTAAAAACAAGTATCCAAAGTGCTTTTCATTCTCAGGATAACCAAAGTAAAACAATTGATAAACTCTTAGTCTGTCCCTGTATTCTCCTGGTGTGACAAACTCAGGCCAGTATGAATGGGGACTGCATATAGCCAGCCCTAAGTACGGGGATCACTACTCCTAATCTATCACAATTACATTCTGGTGGCTTGTTTGAATGAATACTTTCTTTTTGCTGACAGAATAATTACTAAATCACATTATGTTTGATATGTACATGCATAATATTTATTTCTGTTTCTTGTGTGATAGTACTTTATGATGATTTGTGTTTCATGCTCTGCTCTCTACTTGCTTGCCCATTATATGTCAATCCTAAACCATATTCTAGAATCTGCCCTGGTTAGCCTAAATTCTAACAAAACAATTACAGATACAATATTTATTAATTTGGCTTCTCGGTTTAACAGTTTCCTCGGGTTACATGCTGCAGAGTAAACATGAGGCCCAAAGTCCTTTACCAGGACTACTATTTAGGTGATAAGTTCATCATCTACTTGAAACTGTGACAGCAGCAGAGAACATCATAGGATTCCCTGGTTTGGTGTAGTTTTGCTTGCATACCTTCAGCAATGATTTATCTTACTGACCTCCTTTTAAAGTATACTGAAGTGCAGCTATTCCCAGGGAGGAGTTTGTAATGGAAAGGAGAAACAAGTACTTGGGAGGGGGCAGAAGAAGATTAGTAAAATCTTCCAGAAAGTTTTGAGAGGCTCTTACAAGTTTCTTAATAATGTCTTGCTCAGTTTGGAACATAACAAGCCATTCTTCCTCTGCTCACAAGGTCAGGGTCTCCAGCTTTGCTCTTCTACATAATATTACAGGCTTGGCCAGACCATCAACCCACCAGCTTGTGCAGAGTGATGAGGTTGTTCTATCAATCATCAAGTCTGTTTCAACAGCGACCTCACTACCAAGGCTGAAGTAACAAATCCCCAATGTTAATGGCAGAGCTGTCAGGCTCATTGTCACTGGTGAGTTCAGACAATGTGCCTAGAGAATCAAGAAATGGGTACAGATCACATTTGAGAACAGCATTGTGCGATCTTTTTAGTGGACTAGTGCCATGTCCTGCAGCTTTAAAAGTACTTGGTAAATTAAGTAACAAGAACTAGATATTATTTTCTTTTAAATATTTTTGTGCAGTCTTAAGTTGTGAAGTGGTGGATGTTAGCATTTTCTGTTTCAATAGAAATTGTTTTATATTGTAGAAGTTTACTACTATTAGATAAGAACTTTTATTGTCTGAAGTATTACTAAAAACATGTCATCAATAGATATTGTTGTGAAAGCCATCTCCACTGCTGTATTAACCCACCCAAAGCAAAGAGATGTATT